GTTTCCCCTAGTGTAGATGATGTCAAACTTGTCATTTTGTTGATTTGGGTGCTTGGGTGTGTTGCGCAGCACTTTGTGATACTACGGTGATGTTTTCCCTAGCGTAGATGATGTCAAACTTGTCATTATGTTGATTTGGGTGGTGGGGTGTGTTGCGCTGCATCTTGAGATACTTCGGTGATGTTTCCCCTAGTGTAGATGATGTCAAACTTGTCATTTTGTTGATTTGGGTGTTGGGGTGTGTTGTGCTTCACCTTGGGATACTTCGGTGATCTTTCCCCTAGTGTAGATGATGTCAAACTTGTCATTTTGATTGATTTGGGTGTTGGGGTGTGTTGCGCTTCACCTTGGGATACTTTGGTGATGTTTCCCCTAGTGAAAATGATGTCAAACTTGTCATTCTGTTGATTTGGGTGCTGGGGTGTGTTGCGCTTCACCTTGGGATACTTCGGTGATGTTTCCTCTAGTGTAGATGATGTCAAACTTGTCATTTTGTTGGTTTGGGTGTTGGGGTGTGTTGCGCTTCACCTTGGGATACTTTGGTGATGTTTCCCCCAGTGTAGATGATGTCAAACTTGTCATTTTGTTGATTTGGGTGGTCGGGTAAGTTGCGATTGATCTTGTGATAGTTCGGTGAACTTTCCCCTCGTGTTGATATTTCAAAACTTGTGTTTTCACTGATTTGGGTGCTTGGGTAAGTTGAGATTCATCTTGTGATAGTTCGGTGAACTTTCCCCTTGTGTTGATGCTTCAAATCTTGAGTTTTCACTGATTTTGGTGCTTGGGTAAGTTGCGATTCATCTTGTGATAGTCCGGCGGACTTTCCCCTTGTGTTGATGTTTCAAAACTTGTGTTTTCACTGATTTGGGTGCTTGGGGAAGTTGCGATTCATCTTGTGATAGTTTGGTGAACTTTCCCCTTGTGTTGATGCTTCAAAACTTGTGTTTTCACTGATTTGGGTGCTTGGGTAAGTTGCGATTCATCTTGTGATAGTTCTGTGAACTTTTCTCTTGTGGTGAT